ACATACACTTACACAGATCCAGATTGACCCTCAAAATAGTTGCTGTTGGCCGCTATGCAAGTCTGCCAACGTTGATATAGCTGCTGAAAACATAGCTGAAGTATATTGGCGAGAAATTCCTGTATGGCGTCTACTGTGGCACTGACGACCTCCTCGCTTTCAAGCGCTGAAAGAGAAAGAAATCACATGGTGTGAGATCAGGTGAGTACGGAGGGTGTGGAAAAACTGTGATCTTTTGCCTTGCCAGTTCCTCTTGGACAAGAACAGAGCGATGTGCAGGGATATTGTTGTGTAGCAAACAGCCAATTCTTAATATGCCAAATATTTCGCTAGGGGATTTGCCTAGTTTTGTTGGATTGGTAATCATATCATCATCATAAGTTGGCAACGTTTATGCTTATTGTTTTTTTTATACATCCGTTTCCGCTCTCTAATAAATGGAAGACGCGTGAAAGCAGTATATTCCACACACGGACAGTGTATCTTAATTCATCCACCTTTCCTGACATTATTTCATCAGGTTATGGGCCCAGGACGTTTTTGAACTGTGAGTGTGTATAGTAGAAAGACTTGTAATCTGCTGGTTGGTCGTACTTCTTATTGCCTATGTGTTGTGAGGACATTGCCAACGATGTCGAATGACGAAGCAGGAGCAAGTGCATTGCTTGCCGGGATCCAAAAACTGAAGGGAGTCGTGAACTACCAGGACTGGAAGTTTCAAGTACAGAATTATCTAGAACACAGGAATCTATGGAGTGCACTTACAACAAGTGGAACTGAGGTAGGTGAAACTGTGACAACAAATAAGGATCGACGTGCTCGTACTTCCATCTGCATGCTGCTAGAACCGATTTGTTTTGCCAAAGTCCGCACAACTATTACCGCAATGCAAGCGTGGACGAAGCTGAAAGAAGCCTGCCAAGATAAAGGCTGGAGTAGGAAATTACGGCTACAACAGAGTCTTTTGAACTGTAAGTTAGGAACGTGTTTGTCGATGGATGACTATGTGACTAAAGTCTTGAACTTATCACATCAGTTAGAGGATGTCGACGTCAAAGTAAGTGACGACTGGAAAATATGGATACTTCTCGGTGGACTGCCTGCGAGTTATGAGCCATTTCTAATGAGCCTTTTTAACCTCAAAGAGCCAATGACTGTGGATGAACTAGTTGGAAAACTGCTGGCGATAGATGACTTAAGAAATACTTCTGAGCAGCCGAATCAAGAAGAGATTGCCATGTATACACAAGGCAAGAAAAGACAACAGTTCAGACAACACAAATCCTCGACTCATGAAGATAGAGCAGACAAAGAAGGAGGAGAGAAGAAATTCCAATTCAAGTGTTACAAATGTCATGAGACCGGTCACAAAGCTTCGGAGTGCCCATCGAAAGGTTTAAAATGGGGTACTGGGAAAGAGAAGGGCAAATTCAAGACAAGGACTGGTGCTATGATGTCAATGGCAGGTGAGAGACCCATTGTAGGAAAATGGTACATTGACAGCTGCTGCAGTAATCATGTAAGCCCTGACAAGAAGTGCATGACAGAGTTCACACAGGAAACTCCTAGTATAGCAATCACCGTCGCAAATAATCAGGTGATGGAATCAAAGGGTAAAGGTAATGTACCAATAATGTTGAAAGGATCCGACGATGCTCGTGAGCTGTCTAATGTGTTGTATGTGCCCGATGCCACGGCAAATCTTTTGTCTGTGAGCAACACTGTGAAAAAGGGATACTGTATGTTTTTCTCTGCAGATAAAGGGTGTCAGATATTTAACAGCAAAGGATGTCGAGTCACAGGAACAATAGTTGGTACAGCCAAGGACGTGGGTGGAATTTATGAACTAGAAGTTGAGGACAAATTGAAGTGCTATGCTATTAGCCAACCTAAAGCAAACAGGGCGAACATACAGAGTCCAGCTTTATGGCACCAACGTCTGGTCCATCTTAATGCAGCTGATATGTTGAAGTTAAGAAAAATTGATTGTGGAGTGAATTTTCCTGATTCTGAGAACAAGTTGGATTGTATCCCATGTGTAACTGGCAAACTGGCAAGACAGCCTTTCCCATTGAGTGAGTCAAGATCAAGTAAGAGACTGGAATTGGTTCATGCAGATCTCTGTGGGCCTTTAGAAGAAAGATCATTCAGTGGTTCCAGGTATGTACTACTCTTGAAGGATGATTATTCGAGAAAAATGTTTGGATATTTTCTCGCTACAAAATCAGACGTCTTCAAACACTTCAAGGAATTCACTCTGAGAGCAGAAATCGAAACAGGTGAGAAGTTGAAGTGCATTCGTACTGATAATGGAACTGAGTTCTGTAATAAACAGATGAATGAGTTTCTAGCTGAGAGAGGAATAAAGCATGAAAGAACAGTCATTTTCTGTCCTGAACAAAATGGCAGAATAGAGCGCTCCAACAGGACTGTAATCGAGACCGCAAGAACCTTACTGGAAGGAGCTGGTTTACACAAGCGATATTGGGCAGAAGGAGTGAAGACTGCAATCTATGTAAGAAACCAGTGTCCATCTAAGGCAGTGTCAGGAAAAATACCTGAGGAACTTTGGAGGCAGAAAAGGATAAGTCTCAGCCATTTAAGGGTTTTTGGCTGTGAAGCTTATGCACACATCCCAAAACAGAAGCGAAGGAAGCTGGATCCAAAGGGTGAGAAGAAAATATTTGTGGGATATAGTGAGAGCAGCAAGGCCTACAGATTGCTGGACACTGACCACAAGGGTAATCTCACAATTGCCAAAACAGTTGTTTTCTTTGAGAATAGGTTTCCAGGTAAATTAGTTGATGACAGCAAGCCAACCCCAAATCCTTTGCCCATAGTTAGTGGGTTCCATTCAAAGGATCCAGATGATATGGTGGAGGCGAATGTTCAAGATAAGTCAGGCTCTGAGGACAGCAGAAGCACTACCACCGTAGACAGTGAGGACCATGACATCCAGTTAGTGGAAGAAGGTGGATCCCGTCAGAACCAAGCTGGTGAGGACACACAAGTCCGAAGGTATCCATTACGCAAACGTACACCTAGAGTTTTTCCTGATCATGTCATGTATAGTGCAGTGCAGTGTGACCAGGAAACTGAGGACATTGAGCAAGACTTGAAGTGTGCTGATAGTGACAAGTGGATTGAAGCGATAAATGAAGAACTTGACGCTTTGAAAAGCAATAAAACGTGGGACTTAGTGAACCTTCCTCCAGGAGAAAAGGCTGTTGGTAATAAGTGGGTGTTTAAAATTAAACACGATAGTGAAGGCAAAATTACAAAACACAAGGCACGATTAGTGGCCAAAGGATTCACACAAACTTATGGGTTTAATTATACAGAAACCTTTTCTCCCGTAGTAAGGTACTCCACACTAAGACTTTTGCTTTCTTTAGCTATTCAGTTAGATTGGAAAATAGATCATTGGGACATTGTAACCGCCTTTCTGCATGGCCCTCTTAAGGAGAATGTGTATATGGTTCCGCCTTATGGGCTAAATGCTACGGATGTAAAAGGTAAAGTATGCAAATTGAGAACAGGATTGTATGGTCTTAAGCAATCTTCACGAATTTGGTATGAACAACTTCATTCTGAACTGTGTAAACATGACTTTAGACAGTGTGAATTCGAACCCTGTGTATATACGAAGTCCAGTGAGAAAGGTGTTGTGATAGTAGCCATTTATGTGGATGACATCTTTGTCTTTTACAGTAATACTGTAGAAATGCAGAAGCTTAGGAAGGCACTAAGTAATGAGTTCCCAGTGAAGAATCTTGGTGCAGCTAAGAATATTCTAGGGATGAGAGTTGAAAGATCGAACAATGTAATCACTTTGGATCAGAGCAACTATATTAGGAATGTCCTAGATAAGTTCAGCATGCAAGACAGCAAACCAGCGCGCACTCCTCTAGTTACAGGGACCCAATTGGAGAAGGGTGTATGTGATACTAGTTTTCCGTATCAGAGTCTAGTAGGATGTCTCATGTACATCGGAGTTTGTACCAGACCTGACATAATTCATGCTGTAAGTTTGTTATCTCGTTTTAACACTTGCTATGGAGAAGTGCATGTCCGAGCTGCCAAGAGAGTACTACGATACTTGAAAGGGACTGTTGACACTAAGTTAACGTTCCAAAAGAATACCACAGCAAAGTTAGATTTGTGTGGATATGTTGATGCAGCTCATGGTAATGACCCTCTTGACAAGACCTCGTATACTGGATATGTTTTCAAATTGGGTGGTAATGTAATTTCTTGGGAAAGCAGGAAACAAGATTCGTTATCATTGTCAAGTACTGAAGCTGAGTACAAGGGGCTGAATGATGCCGCTAGAGAGTGTGTACGTTTACACGATTTACTGAATGGACTGGTTGAAGGTATTAAAGAAGGGATTTACTTATCAAACTTTGTACTAGAATTGATGGATGAAGAGAAAGTACCTGTAATCTTTAATGATAATCAGTCAGCCCAAATGTTAAGTAAGGATAGGCGATTCAGTAAGCGTACTAAGCATATAGAGTTAAAGCATCATTTTATCAGAGAAGCCATAAAGAAAAGTAAAGTGAAACTTGATTATATTCAGAGTGAAGAGTTGATGGCAGACTTGTTGACCAAAGCTCTGCCAGGTCCAAAAACTGAGTATTTTCGTCGCAAGTTGAATTTGATTGCATAGTTAATTATATTATGTTTTACTTGATTGTTGACTTATGATTGTGATGATATTAGGAGGATCCCTACCCATCCTGAAAGAAGTTCTGTTGACCCTTACTCTGGGGGGCCAACCGATAACAATGTGGGTTTTCGTCGAGAATATCACAGATGAGCTCATCCTGGGACTGGACATACTGAGCGCCTATGATGCGTCAGTGGATACAGGGGGCCAAACTCTGCGTCTGGCTGCAGAAGAAATATCGTTATGGAGTCCTGGGGCAGGACCCCGTCCTTCTAGCTAAGTAGTGGCAAAGGACCAAGTGATAGCCGCACGGAGCGAGGGAATAGTGATGGCTAAATTGAAGAACCATTTTGGAGAAGAGAATGGTCTAGTAGAACCAAGCCCCCACGCCCACCCGCCTGATGGAATCTACGTAGCCAGGACCCTAGTTCAGGACTTTCAAGAAGTACCAGTAAGGGTCATGAGTGTTACCCACAAGGACCAGAAGCTCAGGAGAGGATCCCATCTGTCGCACTGAGAACCAGTAACACTCGTGGCTTTGCCCAGGGTGGGGCGGCCACCAGCACTAGGTCTAACACCGAAATTAGGGGACGTGAGCACAGCGGCCAAGCCACACCTAAGCCCCGGAGAATTTCAGGAGTTAAAGGCTCTCGTGCCCGAGTAAGCCGATATCTTCGTACAAGACAACGAAGATTATGGAAGGACAATCAAAGTATATCACCGCATAGACACGGGAGAAGCGCGACCAATTCGACAGCCACCGAGGAGAGTACACCTGGAAAAACAAACAGAAGTAAAGGAAATTCTCGACAACATGCGAGGACAGGGTGTAATAGAAAAATCGGACAGCCCTTGGTAGTCCCCGGTCGTTTTGACAGGAAAAAGAATGGGGAGCTCCGTTTCTGTATGGACTACAGAAAGGTGAACGACGTCACCAAGAAGAATTGCTTTCCACTACCCCGCATTGACGACACCCTGGACATGCTGGCTGGAGCCAAATTGTATTCAACTCTCGATTTCAAGAGTGGCTATTCGCAAGTCGATGTACACCCAGACGTCAAAGAGAAAACAGAGTTTTCGTCAGGTCAAGGGTTATGGTACTTCACAGTCATGCCCTTTTGGCATCTACATTCCAAGAGCACATGCTCAACTTACGGAAAATGCTCGAGAGCTTCAGGGAAGCCCGTCTGAAATTTAACCTGGAAAAGTGTAAACTTTGCAGAGAGAGGTCAGGTACCTCGTTCGTATTGTATCACCGAAGGCATATCCACCGACCCGGAAAAATTGAAAGCCGTGCGAGAATGGCCGACCCCGATGGATAAACATGTAATTTGGAGCTTTCTGGGACAATGCGCATATTACAGGCGATTTATTTCAGGTATTTCCAACATTGTGAAACCACTAACGAAAAAACGTAAGAGAAACAAACCTTCCAGTGGACTCAAGAAGTGGAGGCCGCTTTTCAAACACTATCGGTGCCCTATGTGCTGCCCCTATTCTTGCTTACCTACAGCCAGGAGAGAAATTCATTGTGGACACAGATGCAAGTAACGTCGGAATTGGAGTTCTCTCTCAAGTACAGGACGGACAAGAGCGTGTCACAGCTTACTTCAGCAAGACGCTGAACAAAGTAGAGAGAAATTACTGCGTATCACGACCAGAACTGCTTGCCATAGTGAGGACACTGGAACATTTCCACAAGTACCTCTACGGACAACAGTTCAATCTGCGAACCGACCACTCTGCGTTTACCTGGCTTATGAGTTTCAAGAATTTGGAAGGACAAACTGCGCGCTGGATACAGCGTCTACAGGAGTACAACTTTACTTCTGAGCATCGTCAAGGCTGGAGACGTAACAACGCCGACGCCCTTTCTAGACGAGTCTGCAAAGAGCAATTTGCGCACTGCGACAAATTTGAGACACGGGCAGATGTAAAGCAAATACGCGCAATTGGAACCCTACCGGCAGCCGGCTGGGACCCGGTTACCCTAAGAGATGAACAGCTAAAAGACCCAGACATATGGCATATTCTACAGGAATTAGAAAACGGCCAAAGACCGAAACGGCAGGACATTGCGGATTGGAGTCCCACGGACAAAAGCTACTGGGCCCAGTGGAAATCGCTCTCTGTGAGAAACGGCGTACTAGAGCGCGACTGGGAATTCGCCAACGGAAGACATCAAACAGCCCAGATAATTATTCCTCGGAGCAGGGTGAAGGACGTTCTGAGCGAACTACACGGTGGACCGTCAGGAGGTCACTTCGGTGTCAACAAAACTCAATAAGGTTCGACAGAGATTCTACTGGCTCCAAGTGAGAACCGATATTGAGAAATGGTGTCGACAGTGTGACACATGTGCAGCCAGCCGGGGACCGCGGAAAAGGAATCGCGGGCAAATGCACTCGTATAATGTCGGTGCTCCATTCGAGAGAGTAGCTATTGATATAGCAGGACACTATTTAGGGTCCTGCTATATCAATAGCAGTTGGCCCTATATCAATTGCAGTTCTTCTGGCCCTTTGGGCCAGAAGAACTATGAATATCAGTTGGTGCCCTTGGTCTTTCTCTTTGAAGGACAGATTTCGCAATGGGCCATATACACTGAGATGTGACTTAAGCTTTACTTATTTTTTTCCCACAGTTCAGCTACCTTTTTACGGGTTATTCGCCTGATTGATTTGGTGACCCAATTGACTGCCGTTTTACATGATGGATCCCTGGTTTCTTGCCACAGTTTTCGTAGCCTCTGCTTGTATTTTATCAAAAGATCTAGACCAGGAAGGTCTTTTTTATGTCTGAAAGTGTAATTTTGCTTGTCGACAACCTATATGCCGAAAAGACTCTGCAAAGTCGCGTGCCGCTTTATCGGTTTCTACCCCCGAATTAATTTCTTGTTTAGGTGATATTAATTCAGAAGCGAGGCTTTGAAACCGCTCCCAATCTATAAATTTTTCAATGGGTTCCGAAAGTTTACTAATTTTAACGTGATCCAGTGTGTGAAATACTATTGGTAGGTGATCTGATTACAAAATATCAGAGACGATGACATTAGACATTCTGATGGACCACAATGTCTAACAAGTCACCTTTGCCCGCAGGCGAGTAATGAGTAGGGCACTGTTGTGCTGAGATTTCGAAATCGACCCATATCGAATAAATCCATAACTTTAAAACCTGAGGGGTTTAAGACTTTGCTATTGCAAAATGGGTTCTTAGCATTCAAATCACCTGCCAAAATATACTTATGTCTGAAGCTTAAGAGCTCAGTGATGTCAGCATCACTCCACACTGCCTGGAGATTGATAAAGAGCTGCAAGCAGCACTTCGCTACCTGATTGATTTTGTGACCCAATTGACTGCCGTTTTACATGATGGATCCCTGGTTTCTTGCCACAGTTTTCGTAGCCTCTGCTTGTATTTTATCAAAAGATCTAGACCAGGAAGGTCTTTTTTATGTCTGAAAGTGTAATTTTGCTTGTCGACAACCTATATGCCGAAAAGACTCTGCAAAGTCGCGTGCCGCTTTATCGGTTTCTACCCCCGAATTAATTTCTTGTTTAGGTGATATTAATTCAGAAGCGAGGCTTTGAAACCGCTCCCAATCTATAAATTTTTCAATGGGTTCCGAAAGTTTGCTAATTTTAACGTGATCCAGTGTGTGAAATACTATTGGTAGGTGATCTGATTACAAAATATCAGAGACGATGACATTAGACATTCTGATGGACCACAATGTCTAACAAGTCACCTTTTCCGCAGGCGAGTAATGAGTAGGGCACTGTTGTGCTGAGATTTCGAAATCGACCCATATCGAATTAATCCATAACTTTAAAACCTGAGGGATTTAAGACTTTGCTATTGCAAAATGGGTTCTTAGCATTCAAATCACCTGCCAAAATATACTTATGTCTGAAGCTTAAGAGCTCAGTGATGTCAGCATCACTCCACACTGCCTGGAGATTGATAAAGAGCTGCAAGCAGCACTTCGCTATTACCAATTGGTAGCAGACCCCTGACGCTTCTACTGAAAGAAAGGTGGTAGTTCTATATGGTTATGGGGATCTCTTTTCTTACTGCAACGGCAGTGCCGCCCTTTCAGCCCTAGTGGAGGTCGTTTCTATAAAAGTGGCAATTTGGAATAAAAATCCTCTCATGAAGTTTGAGATGTGTCTCTGAAAACAGGGCCACATATATGTGGAGGTCTTGGAGTTGTTTACTGAGCTCATAGCGTTGCCTCCCAATGCCCTTCGCATTAAATTCTATGACTTTGAGTGGCCTGTGAACTGTAGTGGCCATTTTGCTTCATTAGGTTTAGAACAATTTTGGTAATGGCCATTATTTTTTCCTCCTCGGACACTCCACCACTGACCTCTGTCATAATCTGCTGTACTACAGTCACTACTATCAACATATTGTCGAGAGACTAGCCGTTTACATTAGTAGCCTGAACTGACAGGCCTGTTTCTGCCTGTAGTGCAGGGGCCGCGGTATAGTATGCTTCTTCGTTGTGGCTGGAGCCACCGGAAAATGGCTTTCCTGAGGGGGATAATGCTGCTCTGCTACACTGCCTCGGAGTGCCGCCGCGAAGGAGACACCTGGAGTTGCGGTGGCTGAAGAGAACACCCTCCCCGTAGTTTTGGTCGTTCTCTGAACCTTCCTTCTGTGTTGCTCTTCTTTGGCATGTTTGCAACCCCGATAATTGGCGGGATGTGGCTTTTCTCCCTCCGCCAATCGGCAGTTGCAGCATACTGGGGTTGAGGCAGAGTTCTACTTCTCTGGGCACTCCTTGTGTAAGAGGCCACCTCCGCACCATAAACAACTTTGGGGCTGTTTGCAATTAGCCCAAACGTGCCGAACTGCTGGCAGTTGTAGCACGGTTTGAGTACGCTCTTTGCTCTGTACGCCTCTACCTTGATGGCAATGTGGCAGAGGTTGTTCAGTCGGAAGACTTCTTAGGTGTTCTCCGTTCTAGGAAGTGTAATAAGGAAAAAGGGAAGGTAAATGTTATACTGTATGTTCCTTCTGGAGGAGTCCGACGACTGGTCATTTGTTTGATGTTAATGACGTTGTGGAAACTGCCCACATTCAAGCAAGCGGGACAACTCAACTTTCATTGCTTAGCAACGACGAATATACAGCTGTTGTTAAGCAAAACCTAAAACAACACAGGCAGTGACGTGTTTTCTATGCTGTCCGACACAGTGTTATATGATGAAGTTATGGCTATAAGGTGTGGTACCCCGTGTGAAGGCGGTGTCGAATACATCCACCGTGACCCTGCAAGTCGTAGAAGGCGACGAAAAGGGTAATTCTCAATTCTGAGAAAGTAAAATATGGTCGCGAGTCCCAATGGACTCGGACCCGAGTAAGAGTGCGCTGGCAAAGGCCAGCAGCATATACAAAAGACAGACCCGTACTCTCGTCAGAGAAAGCGCCCCACAGAAACATGACCGCAACCGTCAAACGATAATAATTAATATCTGGTCATGAGGCCTAAATGGGGCTCGACACCAGGACTTACTGACTGACTGACCGTCAGTAGCCACGTGACTTTGACTTTAACTATGGTGTGGTGTGGATGTTGCAAGTAGTAATATTGTTGATATTGTACAATTAGTCTTCAATTCTTCAAACGCAAGTTTTTCTGTGTATACTGTGCTACTATAATAAATTCTATGGGACAGTTCAACTTGTGGTTGTCTCTTCATATAACATCCCACATTGGTGACCCCGATAAAATATGGCGACCTTTGACAGCACAACACTAACCGGGGCCCCGAGGGTGACCGTGCGGCTCCCGCCGTTCTGGGCCGAGCAGCCTGCCATATGGTTCGCCCAGGCTGAGGCACAGTTTCCATTGGCCAACATCGGAGACGAACAAACCAAATTTTATTACACAATCTCGCAGCCGGACCAACGTTATGCGGCAAGAGTTGCGCCGCCCGTACATATACCCTACGCCACGCTCAGGGCCGTGGCCGTGGGGCGGCTGACTCCTTCGAAGGAGAGACGCATCTACCAAATCATCACGGTTGAGGAGATGGGAGACCGTAAGCCTTGGCAGTTCTTGGGGCATCTCAGAACCCTCGCCCCCGACATGCCCGAGTACATCATGCGCCCCATCTGGGCCAGTCGGCTGCCTCCCCAAATAAGGGAATACTCGCTAGCCAAAATGAGTGCATTTTGAAGCCGCCTCCCGCTGCGCAGACCGCATCACCGAGGCCGCACCGCAACCGGCGCTCGCTAGCGTTGGGCCATCACCGAACGCCGCACTCAGGCAAGAAATATAGGACCTTTCCCGACAGGTGGCAGAACTTCTGACCGAGCAGAATCTCCCCCGTAATAGCTCCAGATACCCTCCGCCCAACTCCAAGGAGCATCCTCCCAACCACAGAGATCCCCGCTACAGAACCAGAGACCTCCGCCCCGTTCCCATGAACCGCCACACACATAGATCTCCTTCCCGAGACGACCCCGCAACCACCCTCTGCTGGTACAATCGTCGATTCGATGCCCAGGCACAAAGTTGTACCCAGCCCTGCGACTACCACCAGCAGGGAAACTAAAGCAGCACACATAATCAGCGGCACATGTCTGCGCTACGAAAACAGGCCGCCTCTTCATAACGGACAGAGCCAGCAAACGGCAGTTCCTAGTCGACACGGGTTCGGACCTCTGTGTATATCCCAGCAGGCTCGTCCATCGACGCATGGATCTTACCAACTATGATCTGTGTGCGGCTAATAGCACTACCATCCACACATACGGATAGCTGTCTCTCAGCCTCAACTTCAGCTTACGCCGAAAATTCATGTGGCGCTTCGTGATGGGCGACGTCAGGCATCCTATCACTGGCGTGGACTTCCTGTCGCATTTCGGTCTTCTGGTGGACTGTCAGAACAATCGCATTCTGGACTGGGACACGACACTGCCAGACCCGGCCTCAGAAGCCGACACACTGACCCTCAGCGTAAAAACCATCAGCGACACACCGGTCGACAACCTTGTCACAGAGTTCCCGGATCTCACTCGCCAAGCCGAAGTCCAGCGCGAAGTCCACCACAGCACCGTGCATCATATACGGACGATACCAGGCCCGCCAGTGACATGCCGACCCTGGTGGCTAGCACCAGACCGGCTAGCCATAGCCAAGTCAGAGTTCGACGTCATTCTGCTTGATGGAACAGCCCGTCGCTCTGAAAGATCCTTGTCCGCGGCCCTACACGTCGTTCCCAAAAACGACAAGGTTTAGCGTCCTTGTGGCGACTATAAAGCACTAAACGC